TTGCGAGTTTGCAGGCTTGACCAGATCACGATCCTTGAAGGTTACATGATTCTTTGTAAAGTCGATAATCTCTATCAAGCGCAGGCGCTGTTCGGGGCCATCGAAGCGTAGGCGGATGCCGTTGGCAGGAAGCGTCAGGGTAACGGGTTCCTGGACAGGTTGGTCGCGGGAATAGGCGAGGTCGAGCTGTGGAAATCGCTGGGGTTCGGCTTTCAGTCGCGTCAAGACATCATGCAAGGATGCTCCGAGAACTAGGCGACAGCGATAGAGTTAGTGTCTGAGAGTGCCTCTCCCAAGGGCAGAGTTCATGCAAACCGAGAAAGCCCAGAGCCCGCCCTGGATGGAGCTGCGCGGTGAAGAGCGACATGATCAGCAAAGGCGATCGGAGCTCAGCGTGGGGTCCGCGGGGTGCTCAGGGCGGATGGTGTTGAAGTTCGTGGGACTGATGTTGTTTGGGGAGAGTATAGGCCGCAATATGTGTCTATCGGGTGCTTGTGTAAGGCGTAAAAGGGGCCATGGAAGTGTGTAGGAGGCAGTTTCGCGATAACGACGAACAGCGCAGTCAGACAGAGACGGATGACCACGGGTCTTGGAGAAGGGGTTCATGTGATGCTTCAGCAGTGACAACGACTAAGCGGGGCGTGGGGTCGAAAGGGGACGTCATTCGGTTAGCGGAGGTACATATTGCGGGTACTTTCCCAGCATTGAACCAGTCAGGAGGAGAAGCTGACAGCACCGGCGAATTAGCGCCATCGCTTGAGGTGCAGCCGCCCCACTTGCGCAGATTGCCAGCAGGGGTGTAGCTCTTATCTTATCAGTCACGCTCTGGAGGTGTGCGTGTGTCACTGAGGAAGGTGGGCCTGCGCCGGGACAGCGGGGGGAAACTCACGCCTTCCCAGATTCCCATCGCAAACTCCGACTGACACTGGCTGAAGAGGCATCGAAAAGTGAAGGAGCTTCGCTGTGAAGTGTGGCAGCTGCCTCCAACGGTTTCTCCCCAGACACTTTCCTCAGCTTGAGCAAGTTCGATACGTACCGCCTTCCGGTTCCTGCCACACGCATCACCCACCACATGTATTCGTACCTGCCTCTGATGAAAGACGAGCTGCAAGGGCAGGCACCTCATCTTGCACCACACCAAACCCTCAGATGCCTCAGTCTTCAGATCAACGCTGGCCTGGAGCATCGGGCCATGTTATCGACGGAAGGTACAGCATCGTAGGCGCATCTGGAATACCCAACAGACTTCCCTCGAAACCATCTCTCCCCGCATGCTCTCCAACTCAGCGACACACTGCCACGTTCAAGCTCACCCACCAAACGCAAGAACATCGAAACAAGACATCTCAAAGCATCCCAGCACATGGAGCAATATCTCCAGCCGCCCCCCTCTTGGCACACACAGCTTCCAGACCAGCACATCCACCATTGACTTCTCTCCCGTCTCCGCATGGAAACTTCCACCGCTATCTGCATCATGTCTGCTTCAACTGGCCAACGGCATGCTCCAACTGCCACTTTCGTCCTCCCGCCTGAAGAAAAGCACAGAGGAAATCCAACGCTTGAGGCACACGGGCCTTCATTCGATGAACTCTCGCTCCGTTTCACCTATTCCTGTAGGTTCGATTGCTCCATCTTCAAGGATGTCTCTTCAACACCAAAAGCATTCTCACGCCATTCATTCTGCCCGCCCTCCTTTACGGCTTGCCCGGAGGAACATCGAATTTCAATTCAAAGTCCCGCATTTCCTTCAAGTATGCGACCTTTGGCCCGGACCACCACGACGGAAAACTTCAGCCTATCATCATGGTGAATCCATCAACTTCGTCTTCCTCGTCCTGCCGTTGCTGTTGCCGTCTCCACCAGGTCTTGGCCATTACAATCGCCTTCTCGTCAATGACCCGCGAATGCGGGCATCATGTTAACCCAGCACATCAAGGCGCTCCAAGGTACCAGTGCCCTGCTTGTTAGGGTTGGCCGAGTAGCCCGGACATGGCGCACTTCGTTTTTTCCTGCGATTCGTATCTCGTCTTCGCTTTCTGCAAGTGAACTCAGGGAAATACCACTACGTCCTCAATTGACTTTTCCGATCCTACGAATTGCGAGCCTCGTGAATTCGGAGCAACCTCGTTGCCGAGACTAAACAATGCCCCGGCAGCTTGCGTACATACGGATCGATTTATTTCTCAGCGATACCATACCACTTCATCGCCGGATCTTCTGCCTCGTTGATTTCAGCTGGGCGTGGATTTGGCACATGTAATCCGAGTCACCTGAGCTGCGGGTTTCCTGGTAACTACGAGGGATAGTGCTGGCTCGATCACACCGAGATTACAATTAGGAAGGATTATTCTGATGTTTCTCATCCACGTTTTCCCAACGACCACCACTACAATCACGTTGACCCTGAATCTCATCTTGGCTCATCTCACAGACATCGCGGCTAACGGAAAGTACTCGCAGCTGTGCGGTTGTATTCAGCCCTTGCGACGTTGGCGGACGGGAGACAGTGCCTTCGCCGAAGCATACCACTATCGAGAAACGAGCCGCATGTCTCCGGCGCCTCTCTTTGGTCAAAAATAGGGCGATTTTGAGTCTTCCCTTGCAGCTGCTGGATCAGGCGATCTCACTCGGTACCTGGCGCATTGCCAACGTCGAGGCATCTTCGTCAATCAGAGGCGACTCGAAAGACGCTGCATCCATATGAGGGCCCGTTCTTCTCGTGCGACATGAATTGGAAGCTACTTTCCGCGCGCTCAAGCTTCGTCCTGTTTCGAAGACATGGCCTTTCGATGCTGATCTCTATAGCTGGATATTACAGCAAGAACTTCCAGAACGCGGATGTCAAATGGATTTTTGCCCACGCAGCTGGCATTGTCTCCGCTAGAATTTTGACAGCCATGAGCATATTCGGCCCAAAAATGAACATTCACCCTGTTCGGCTCGAAATCGACGGTGGCTAGTGCCGGCATCGACGAGCAGTTTCATGGCCTCTGGATCTAGGCCGTGCGGCAGCGCACAGAGATGGCTTCAACCCACTTTACTGGAATCCGACTCTGCCCGGCGAACTCAACTCTTATTTTGAAAGAACTTGATTGGGTTGCGAGTTGAGCCCAACGACGGCAAGTCTTGGCTGCGTGGGTCAGCTCAAGGGACGGCTTGAACGACCGCCTTCGCGACCCAGCCCAATCCCAGCCTCAAATACAGCGCTGCTGGGCTCCTGGGTTGCTTGGATATGGCAGCATTTCATGCATGAACGGCAGCATCAGTCATGGTGATCTGTCGCCCGGCACTTAGGGAGATCGCAGACATATCCGGGGCGGCGGACAAAGGCAGACCTAGACCTGATAGCAGTCCGATTGGGCTCCAATGCCCGGACCATCGCTGTTCATGTATGTCTGCCGTAAATACGGCACCGACACGTGATGGACATCAGGCTGTCCCGTGTCACGATATGCCCTGACTCTGTAGGAGCATGCTCGAGACAACGGCAGACCCACGTTGTTACAGCGCTAGGGAATCGCCCACGTACTGAGGAATAGCATGGTATTTCGGCCGCTCCGCTGACAGGATTGACCTGTCAAACGATTGGTACGATATCAGGCCGCTCTATTTCTACGGAGAACTGCCTCCTTGGCATGAGCCGTTGCCCATGAGTGCGATGAGGGTGAGCCCCTGATAATCTGAGCATGAGAGGCTTTGACCTGGAGGCTCCACATTCATGCTCATGAAGACCGTTATCAAGTCCGAATAATTCGGTCTCATGAAAGGACAAGGCTCGGATTCGGCGAGTCGCTGGGAATTACCCACCATACCATCGAGATTGACACGCGGGTAGTTGATATTGGCAATATCGGTTCCGCTCATCTCACCGAATCAGTCCGTCCAGGGTAACGAGTCGTAATACGGATACAATCAAGGCAGCACTGATGAACTTCGGTGGATATTGTCATCCGTGTGTTACGGTAAGATGAATGACGAACTGAGAGCTTTTGAGCTAGCCCTAGCAAGATGGGTCGCTTGTTCCTCTCTTGCAACACTCTCCCTGATGTATTCACGGCCATCTTCATACCACGTGATCAGCCAGTACCTACCTCATTCCCGATCTTGTATTACGACGTGTTGGACTGTTAATTGAGGATTAATGAGTTATGTAAGCCGTGATATTGTTCTCGTCTTGTTCTACTGCCCGATGACTGAGCTTCTCTCGTTCAACCACCGTCAAACCTCACCCCAATGACTCTTGTTTCTTGTTACTCAAACTTCATTTTGCAGCCTGGTGACCCGCTCCCACGGGATTTTCCCGTCTTCGCTCAGTGAGTGAGCAGGTGCGCCGAACGTGAATCGTGAACGTGAGGCAACTCACAGCGTCGCAGCGGACGTCGAAACATGCTTCTGTCTCATTGAGGCCCGATGAGATAGATGGCGAATGGCAATCGGGACTGTCGCATGAATACTACTTGAGACTGTTACTACCCGAAAAACAGCGCGACTCAAGAAGTAGCATTCGGGGACATTTTCTTGGGTTGCGGCGGAGAGACTCATCTGATGTATGATATGGGCCAAATACGACGTTGAGAGCTTCGCGTTAGATATCGCAGACGTCATGTTCTCAATGTCAATTCAAGTCTGTTAAGCCTGGCTGACTTTGTAGAGTTTGCACGCGCCCGAGGGAACTTCTTCGTGAAGTCTACGGCTCATTTCAATCCATCAATCGCAGCTTGCTCTCATCACAACTCACGTTCTCTCATGATGTAGACTATTTGGTTCATCATTAGCATTTCCAACTCGGTGTCAACAAGATACCTTCCTTTTCTGGTTGACAGTGCAAACATTCGTAGCAAACGCTGAGAGATACAAAGCCCTGCAACCAACCGGCTCGCTTATCTCTCATCCTTCCAAAACGAACATCCGCGCCTTAAACCAACGTCACACCTCCCCCTCATCACCAACCTCACCCTCCCCTCCAACGCATCAAGTAACACGAAAACCGCCAAACCATGGCCAAAATAACCATCCGTGACGCGTCCACTGCCGAAGACGACGTCGCCTTCATCGTCGCAGCCTTCGACTCGACTCTCGCGCCCCTCGCGGCGCTCGGCAGCGGCGCGATGTGGGGCTCCACGCCCTTCTCGCAGAAGGACGGCTTCGTCGAAGAAACAATCAAGGATGTGCGGACTTCGGAGACGTACCAGGTCACGGGAGAGGGGGAGGAGGCGCTGCGGATTTTCGTGGCGGAGGTTGAGCTTGAGGATGGGACGGAGGCGGGGGCGGGGCTGCGGTGCCGGGAGGCCGGGGATGGGAGGCGGTATCTTCCTGTCGGGATGGCGATGGTAAGGGAGGGATGGGTGCCGGGCCATGTGAAGAATCATTTTCATGTGGAGAATATTAGGGAGGAATTGGAGGGGCGGAAGGATTTTGTTTATGTTGATGTTTTGATTTCGGATTTTAGGACGGGGAGGTTGAGGAAGGGTGCTGGGGGGTCGTTGCTTAGGTGGGCTGGGAAGCATGCTGTTGAGAAAGGGTTGAAGGAGGTGTATCTTGATGCTTGGGCTGGTAATGGTGGAGGATTGGTGAGGTGAGATCGAAACTGCATGTCATGATGTGATAAGTTGCTAATGAGAACAGATACTATGAGAAGCATGGATTCAGATTTGTTGCTGAGTTTGAGATGACGAGAGGTGACGCTACCATTTGGCCTGGCACGCTTATGAAGATGAGTTGCGTTGATGCGGATGAATCTCTCATTTCATAGTGGCTAAATCGGCTGCCTCCCTGCGCAAACCCGGGCGTCGAAATGTACTTGAATATTGGGAATTTCTGCTGCTGTCATACAACTTTAATGTTCTCTAGTTTGATTCCTCGAGCCTCGAGCTGCTCCGGTGTCTGACGAGGATCAGTCTTTCGACATTTCGAGTCGCCAAGCTTCTTCCAACACAGCCTCCTCCCTTCGTGGTCATCTTGACTCCATTCCGGGGGCAGTTCCGTATCCAGACGAGGATCCTCGAAGGTCTGCCTGCCATCGGGTGCAATAAAGGCCTCATAAGCTTCCCCATTAAATATCATTCTCCAGCCATCCGGCAAGGGCCCAAGGACAGCTTCACCATGAGATAACTTAGGGACATAACAAGGCCCAACGATAGTGTACTTTGAGTCCTCGACATGTCTCATAACTATTGGAAAGCTGCAGCCAAATACCACAAAGATCTCGTCGCCGACGCGTGCCGCACCAGACCCCAAACCGAAGTGGCCTACGTTGGTAGCGAAGACTGCCGCACCAGGTAGTAAATGATTGGATTCCGTCAACAAAATGGGATCGATGGGGCTTGGGCTATTTTTGAATGGTGTAGATTCCTCATTCCCTTGCAACAACGCAGCTTCGGCATCCAAGATACTAAACCTACCGTGCTCGTAATATTCGATTGCGCGACCACCAGTGATCGTTTCTGCTAGGTCGCTTACCGCTAGGCCTTCATGATATTGAGTACCTCGAGGAAAGAATTGACGGACCCATGACTCGACTGTGCGCTGAATGATTTCAAGGTCCAGTTTCTGTGACATTGTCGAGGTTTGCTGCTTGATAATTCCACAACGAGTTCCTAGCATCTCCCACAACCCATCTGACAAGATTTGGAAGGCCGCTTCAGTCTTTCCGTCGCTTTTTGAATTTACACGGTGCAGCCGCAAGCTCTTCGGTTTGTCTAGATTCGGAACCCAGCTGGGACTGCTAGCCACTTCGCACTCTTCGAGGAACGACAGTGATGAGTGTTCCCTATAGAACGCCAACGTCCAGTTGGCATACACTTCTTTTACACTTTTTGTATAGTCGATTTGTATGTCAATGTCCCTCTGAAGGCCGCGAATGCCAAAGATCCTGTCGCGTGGATCTGCGCATTGACATCCTTCAAGTAACTTGATGATGACCCAACTGCGTGTATGACTTCTGCAATCAATCAAATTCCACACATTCCTGAAGACTGCAGTTGTCGGTGGCCTTTGAGCCGCTTTCACGACAGTTTCTTCCCACTTCAACTTCATGTCCAAGTACATGAAAGCGGAGGAGAATTCGGACCAAAGCAACTGGCGCTTTCCGCTCATAACTATAGCTGAATAATTCGCCAGGCTGATTTCTTGTCTGACCCAAAGTCTCGTAAACCAGGAAAGGCTGAGTAATTCAACAACACATTGCCAGTCGTAGATAGCGAATGGCAAAAGATAGTCTTTGCGCAAGTAGGCTTCTTCCATTCCCTCACGCGTATAAAGTCGTAAATTGTCTCCGAGGCCCACGTGAGACGCGATCTCGTCAAGCTTGCGCATCGCATGAGAAAGATGATGTTTATCAGGAGCAAGCCAGACAACAACTCTATCCGCATGGCGAAAGATGTCCGCCATGCGTTGGACTTGAGTTGCTCGTTCGGGCAGGTTTCGTTGGTCAATGCAAACGGCATCGCACCAGAGGATTGGAGATGCGGACACGTGTCGAAGGTCACGTAGAGCTGATGCCAAATTCTTTCCGATCTGTAACAATCTCTCGTCTTCAGTTGAGTCATCGAATATCGACAAGATTTCTGGGTCATCTTGTTCGCCCCATGCGTAGGAAAGCGCTTCGTAAATCGGCACCCAACGGCCGGGTCGATCTCCACGGTGGCAGGAGCTGATGAAGATACGATGCTTGATGCATCCTTTTAGCGGATCGTCAAACTCGCCGGGGAGAAGCTCAAGTATCCGGATTGATTCGTTGTCTAGAGACATGTACTGATATTGCGACATCTCGAATGTGGAAGGGGGGCGCTCGTAGCGGCCCGCACGACTAGAGAGGTAGATACGAATGCAGAAAAGACGAAATGAAAAAGACGGAAATGCGATGCAGATGACATGCCAGCCTGATTTCACTCGAAGTCAGCAGGAGAGAGGTGCCGTCAAGCCGAGTCCAATAGGGAGCGCATCCCCAGTTCGGCGTCAGCTGCATCCAACAACCGGAAAGAGAACATGATTGGATACGTGAGGCAGGTCTCTATTGGAGCGATAGCTTGTCAGCCGTTTACACACCCAAAATCAGACCTTGCGGTGTTACGTGTTCCATTTTGAGAATTGCGCCTTCAGCCTACGCTGCAGCCACAGGAAGCGTATTCGCGACCGTAAGGAATCATCTTCAGTCAAGGCTCACGTGAAGACAACAGGTTGTGATATCATAATCAAGAAGAATGCCAAAGTCCGGCCCCACACAGAACAATGCGGTTGTGGCTTCGCGAGTGGACTGTGATGTTTGGAAGACCAAGACATAGAGAAACCTAGAAAGAAGCATTGATCAGGCGCGCAATTCAGCACGAACTGGTGGTCAAGGCCGTCCTCGGTGAACAACCCCAGGCCTCGGTGAACCGCCCAAATAGAAAAAAGAGGAGAATAACAAGACAGACGGGAGCGGGTCGAGGCGTTGCCCGGGTGACGGGGCCTTCCGGCAGCCAATTGCAGAGCTTCCCCCCACTTAGCGCGCATGTTGTATTTACTTTACCCTGGCACCTGTCAACACCACCCATACACAACCTCCGACATTCAATACATCATCCACACGCCGCAATCCTTCTCTTCCAGCAAGTTCCCAGAAGTCTTGCAAGTTTCAGTTCATACACATACTGCGTTGTTTTTCTTCGTTTTGCACCAACAGCCAATACTAACCTCACCACACAACACATCACAACATGAGCTCCAGACGGGAGCTGACGAGGACGGCCTCGTCGAACCTCCGCACCGCCGCCGCCAGTCGCACGAGCGTGCGCCCGACGACGACCAGAACCTCCAACCTGCGATACCAGAGCGGCCCCTCAAAAATCGACAGGAGCCGCGCGACCTCGCCTGCAGAGTCTGTCGCGTCCACAGCCACGACCGCGACGAAGCGCAAGGAGCGCGACTACGAGTACGAGGCACCCGGCGGTGGGACCAACATCAGCGTCGTCGTCAGATGCAGAGGCCGCAATGAGCGCGAGGTTCGCGAGAACAGCGCCCAAGTCGTCCGCGCAGACGGCGCGAAGGGCGAGAACATTGAACTGTCTCTCGGCGCCAACGCCCTCAGCAACAAGACATACAACTTTGACCGCGTCTTCTCCGCCGCGGCGGACCAGACTATGGTCTTCGACGATGTCGTCAAGCCTATCCTGGAGGAGGTACATAGTGAAGTCACACGCTTTCATTACCATACTGACATCATTGCAGATGCTTGCCGGCTTCAACTGCACTATTTTCGCTTACGGCCAGACGGGCACTGGCAAGACCTACACCATGTCTGGTGACATGACTGAGACTTTGGGCCTCTTGAACGACAACGCCGGCATTATCCCAAGAGTCCTCCACGCCCTATTCAATAAACTCGAGGTCGACGATACAGAGAGCTGCGTCAAGTGCTCTTTCATTGAGCTTTACAATGAAGAGCTCCGCGATCTGATCTCCGTCGAAGAGGACCGCCACAAGCTCAAGATCTACGACGACACATCAAGGAGGGGCCATGCAACCACAGTCGTCCAGGGTATGGAGGAGAGACACATCAAGACCGCGTCCGAGGGTATCAAGGTTCTTCAGGGTGGAAGCTTGAGGCGTGAGGTCGCAGCCACCAACTGCAACGATCTCAGTAGTCGAAGTCACACTGTGTTTACTATTACCGCCTACGTCCGCAAGAAGGGCGAAGATGGAGAGGAGGACTACGTTAGTGCCGGCAAGCTGAACTTGGTCGATCTGGCCGGTAGCGAAAACATTCAGCGATCCGGTGCCGAGAACAAGCGCGCCGCTGAGGCAGGCTTGATCAACAAGAGTCTGCTGACTCTTGGCCGAGTCATTAATGCTCTGGTCGATCGCAGCCAGCACATTCCCTACAGAGAGTCCAAGCTCACTCGACTTCTCCAAGACTCTCTTGGTGGACGCACAAAGACGTGCATCATTGCAACGATTTCGCCTGCAAAGAGCAACCTCGAAGAAACAATTTCCACACTCGACTATGCTTTCCGCGCCAAAAACATTCGCAACAAGCCACAGCTCAACGCCATGATCAACAAGAAGATGCTGCTGAGGGACTTCGCAACGGAGATCGAGAGGCTGAAGAGCGAGCTGATTACTACTCGGCAGCGCAACGGTGTCTACCTCTCCAACGAGTCCTACGAGGAGATGACTGCTCAAAGCGAGTCACGACGCATTGTGGTGGAGGAGCAGGCGGCCAAGATGGAGACCCTCGAGAACAATCTGAAGAACAAGGTTCAAGAACTCTTTGCTCTGACCTCGAGCTTCATGGGCCTGAAGAAGGATCATGAGGGCACCAAGGCTGAGCTCGATGAGACACAAGGTGTTCTTGACCAGACGGAGCTTGTTCTGGCGGCGACTCGCAAGAGCCTGTCTGAGGAGACACATATTCGCAAGGCCCACCAAGAGACCGAAGAGAAGCTAGCCGAGGTAGGTGGCGAGTTGATTGCCACTCTGCAAAAGACTGTCAGCGACGTCGACGGGCTTCGAGCCAAGAACAAGCGCAAGTCTGATCTCCAGTTCATCAACCGCAGCGCCTGGGGCACTGCCCAAGCCGAGGTGTCTGAGGTGACGAGCATTGTTGAGGAGAGAGTCCAGAGCTTCCAGAACAAGCAGCGGGAGAACATCTCGGGGATTTCTGAGCGCATGAACGCCTTCGTCAGCGAGGAGTTGAAGAAGCTGTCCGATACTCAGAAGTTCCTGGATGAGCAGCTGGAGTCGTTCACCGAGTCAAGGAGGGAGCTCTTGGAGCAGAAGGAGAAGTCCAAGGACGAGATGGACGACGTCCTTGAGGAGATCAAGGTTGTTCGTGACCACGTCAAGGAGCGAGTAGGCGACAGCCTGCAGGCGATTGCTGGTGCTGCCGAGCGCATCGCTGCGGACGTCCTCAGTGAGCTGGACACCTTCCACAACCAGGTAAATAACATATGCAGTCACCGTTCGGAACAACTTGCTAACATCTTTGCAGCTCCACTCTTCATACAGCTCTCTGGGCAAGGAGTTCAAGGGCATCTTTGAGGACCTCATGAAGCACATTACCGAGCAGCGAAGTGAATCTGATAGACTCAGACAACAGCTCCAAGCCGCTACCAACACTGTTGTTGAGCAGAATGCCAACATCTCTGATCAAATGCAACAGGTGTTGGAAGACGAGAGGAAGCAAGCTGCGCAAGACCGCCAGAACCTGCTCGCCCAGATCACTACTCTCATCAACGCGCAGGCCGAGACTCAGGAGACTCGCCTGGCTGAGAAGACTTCTCAGCTGCAGCGTAGCGTCCTGGACTCGAATGTGGCTCTACTGGACAGCGTCACTCAGTACTCTGAGGACATGGACATCTGGGACTCGAAGGAGGGCCAGCTTCTGGAAGATGTTGCCAAGTCCCGTGACACGATGAAGAACAAGTTGAAGGATGACTGGAATGTGAGTAGACTTGGCCCCCTCATCAGCACATCACAAACTGACAAACCTAGACCGCAAACGACCACAGCACCGCTATCCAGGAGACCACGAAGTCGGTCCACGCCGAGACCGTCCGTGTTGTCGACGAACAGCTCAAGGACCTGGACGTCCAGATGGAGTCTTTGGATGCGTTCGTCACCCG